GCACTCTCGCCTCCCCGCCCTCCCCCGTTGCCACTACCCCCACCCGCCCCCGAGCGCCCCTGCATGCGCTCACAGTGTGACAATGTCTGCATTGGCCTCCTGCACTGCGATGCTCAGTGGGTCCTGCTGCGCGTGGTCCAACGCGTGCTGGTCCGCCCCACGCTTCAAGAACAGGCAGACCTGGCTGAGGGCGGAAGGGACAGGTCAGGACGGGCCCAGGGCAGGTACTGGCGGCAACCCGGGCCCGCAGGGAGTGGGGCACCCACGACTCACCCAGTGCGGCCAAGGAGCGTGGCATGGTGCAGCGGCGCCCTGCCCCGGCTGTCTCTTTGGTTCACATCCGCTCCGTTTTGCAGGAGAAATTCACAAATGATCAAGGAGCCCTGGGAAGCCGGGGGTGGTTCAGACTGGTCCCTCGCAGGGCCCCTGCACCTCCAACGCCACCCTGGGCACCCCAGACGGGACCAAGCACCGTCCTCAGCAGAGGACCAGGGCCCTTGCGTGCACACTGCGAAGACACTGAGAAAACCTGGTGCAGACTGGTGCCCACCTACCCCTAACACGGCCTGCACCAGAGGCGTCTTGCCCTCGTTCTGCGCGTCAGCCCAGTTGACCTCGGCCCCGAATGCTAGCGCCGCGGCCAGCGCAGGGAGGTCGCGGGTGCGGGCCGCACGGTGTGCCAATAGCCCGGGGTGCAGCTCGCGCACGTCTGCCAGGCCCCAGGCCTCCGCCTCTCCGTCAGCATCAGCCTCACCGCTGGACTCCTCCGACTCTGCACCCTCTGCGGGGAGGGGATCCGTCAGGGGCGGTGACGCAGCGGGGAGTAGGGATGGGCGGGGCCGGGGCGGGGGAGGCACGCACTCACCCTCCTCGGTGACGCTGTCCACCACAGGGCCCACGCCGAAGGCCAAGACATCAGAGCTGCCGTCGGAGCTGCCCCCTAAGCCACTGTCACTGCTCAGACCTGCAGGGCCCGCAGGTAGAGGAGGTGCTGAGCGTTTCTGACTCCTCCCAGAGCCCTAGGGGCAGGCTGGAACCCCACCCATCACAGGCAGGATCAGCCCCAACCAGGGGGCAGACAGGAGCTCTACCCAGGGTTGTGGGGAAAGCGGAGAAAATCAAGTAACAGCTCAAAGGAGCCGAGGGTCGCCCCCTCCAGGAGCGGAGTCCCAAGTGGAAGCCCACCCTCTCACAGGTCAGCCCTAGCAGTGTGGCTGAGCTGAATCACAGCCTCGGGCAGATCTGTTTGTGACCGGTGCATACTGGAAGGTCACTGCCCAGAGATGGGGTCTTTGCCGAGCCCCAGACATGGCCCCGAGCAGCAGTGAGCAAACGCTGGCCCAGCTGGCCCAAGGGCAGCCCTCCCAGGAGAGCCCCAGGCTTAGGGATGGTGAGGCAGCGCCCTCTGCTGCACGAGGGCACCCCTGCCACCCCCATCAGCCCTGCCAGCCGTTGGCCCCAGAATATGCCTTCTGTCCACACTGCCCAGGAAGGCTCCCTGTGTGCCCCTGCCAGTGGCTGCTGAAGAACGCTAACAGGCAGCCCTCAGGGGAGGGCCCTGACTTGGAGCATCGGCCCCCAACTCCAAGATGCACACAACTGTCTCTCGGGAGCTGGTCCAACACACAGCTGTCCAGCCCCCACAGGCACTTGCGGACACATGGGGCCCTCAGCACACGCGTGCACACGCACACCCCCTGCATATACACCCATATGCACATGCACTCACATGTATACCCGCTTGTGCCCTCACGCCCTCATGTGCAGACTCCTGTGTGCACGCAGCACAAGCACATGCACACACATCACTCTCGAAGGTCATGGCCCCAGGCTCCAAGTCAGTGGCCAAGTCACCCCCAGCTCTTCAAGACCATCCCCTTAGCCCTGATTGACGCCCCCGAACCCTGCCCCATCCCCAGGCCACTCCCCCCTGCAAGGACGCCTGTCCTCCCAGGCCCTGCGTAAGTGGCCACAGCTGTCTGCCACTCATCCACCCTCTGGACAAGCCATGCCTGGCCCCCACTCTGCTGCCCCGGCTGAGCTAGGAGTGGGCAGTAGAAGACTTACTGCGTGGACCGGCCGCAGCAGCCCCTGCATCGAAGTAGGAGAAGAGGGAGTCCAGCTCATCTGGGCAGAAGAGGGAGTCTCTGCGGAACCTGGGCTCCACAGAGCCTGCTGCAGGGCGGAACCAAGCCATGCTGGGGGTGGGCAGAGCTCCAGAGCACCAGTGAGCCCTGCCCGCCTTCCTCCTGACCACCCACCTGGGCCTCCCAGGGGTCCAGGGCCTGGTGGCCCACCCACCGCTGAAGCCCTCTCCCCAGCCCTGCCAGGTCTGTGAGCTGGGGCACACCCACAAGCCCCCTCCCACCTGAGCACAGAGCAGCCACAGAAGGCAGGACGGGCTCCATCCGGACTTTGCGGCGGGCAGTGGGGACACGGGGGGAGCTGTGGTGGCGTTGACACTTCTGCGCGCGACAGCGCCGAGGGGCCTCCCGGGCTGGTGCTGAGGGTGGCCTCCGCACGAACCTCTTTTCCACGTATTTATCCTTGATCCAGGCCTCCTTGTCCTGCCTGGACCAGGGGAAGACGTGAGCCTGCGCTTACGGGCTGGGCCGCCCCGACCCCGTCCAGGCTGCCCACCACCTCACCTGGGGCTGCTGGCTGTGGGCTTCCTGCTGCCCGGCCCCTCACACTGGGCCTCGTAGATCTGGTTCATGGTGCTGTTTCCAAGCTCACACATCAGCTGCCAGAGGGGTTGCACTAGACATCAGCCCAGCTCACAGCCCCCCCCAGCAAGCTTGCACCCCACCCCCCCACTTGTGGTCTGGTGCCTGCGATGGCCCCCCACACACCTTCAGCAGCTCCGGCTCCCATGAGTCCAGAGTCAGGGACCGCACCTTGGAGCAGTGGACACCCAGGCTCCTGGATGGTGAGGGGCAGGGGTGAGTCAGGGCGTGGCTCCACCCCCATGCCCCAGCCCAACTGCCCAGTGGGCCCACCTGTGGATGCCTGAGCACTCGATGCAGAGCAGCACACCCAGGTTGATGCTGGCCCAGCGTGGGTCCGGCTGGCCACAGTCACCACACTGGCTGTTGCCAGCCACGCTCTGCACCCGCTGCAGCACACTCTCACCCTTGACGCTGCGTTCCCGAGAGTCAGGGGCAGAGTCAATGCTGCTCGTTGATGGGGATGCTGCGCGGTCCAGCCTCTGGGGGCGGGGCGAGTACCACTCAGCCCTCAGGGAGCCCCAGCCCTGGGTTCCCCAGCGGGGCCCCTCTCCCTCCCCAGACACAGGTGCACACATGCGCAAGGTGCTGGGAGGGCCCACCTCACTGTAGCAGCTGTCCGGGCTTTCCCGGTAGGCTGACGCAATGCTGGCTTGCACAGCCTGAACCCAGGCTTGCCGCAGCTTCTCTGAGTCGGCCTGCAGCATGCAGCTCCTGGAGGGAGGGGACCGTCAGGCCAGGCAGGCGGGGGCTCCCTCCGTACCCCTGCCCTGGGTTGGGCCTCCTCACTTGGTGGGCGACACGACCTCAAAGCAGAACCTCCGTTCGATGTCCTCACAGGGCTTCACGGAGCACAGCCGGAGGTCGTCCACCACCACAGTCAGCACGTCCTGTGGGCAGCACCACTGTGACCCTGGCACTCAGCACGCAGCCCTGGCCCTGCACTGACCACCCGCTTGTTCTTCTGCTTTAGAGATACAAACCGGCTGAGGCTTAAGTGGTCTCTGTCCCCTGACTGCTCAGGCTTTGGTGTCCATCAGTGTCCTCAGCCCTGTGACCCCCCACTGCCAGCCGCCCACCCCGGGCCAAGGTGGGGAGGCCCAGCTGCTGCTGACCCAGGCCTAGCGCACCTTGAGCTTCTTCTGGTAGACCAGCTGGCTGTTCTGGATGGAGAACCAGCGCCTGGGTGGGCGGATGGGCCAGGAGAGGTCAGGTGGGGCGGCCCTCTCATCCACCCGGTGGCCCCGCACCCGGAGGAAAGGCCCTCCCTCACCGGTTCCACGTCTTGAAGGCGTTGCTGGCCCTCTTGAAGAGGTAGCCCTCCATCACCACACCACTGGGCGCATCCACATCAAACTCCACTTTGGGGTCATCGTAAGAGAAGTCCTGGGGGCGGTTGGAGCCCGTCCCCCGTGAGCACCCACTCCTGCCGTGAGGACACTGCTGCCCTCCCAGGCTCCCCCAAGACCAAGGGTGAGAGGGTCTCCTCAGCCACTTCCTGGCCCAAACCGCCCCCCCGTGGGGTGGGGACAGATGTCACACATCACAGCTGGGGGCCGAAAGCTCCAGCCCCACTCCCAGCCTTGCAGAGACAGGAGGCTCTGGGATCAGGAAGGAAGCTGCCTCCCCCATCCTGAGTCCCCTATTCATGTCGCCAGCTGGGCTGCTCCAGCCAGCCTGACAGAGCTCCATTCACGCAGGCTAGGGAGACACTGAGTGTTGTCCTGTGTGTCCGGCAGGGGGAGAGAAGGCCCAGCCACCTGCTCTCCTGGCGGGGGTGGGGGGGCAGGAAGAAACAGCTGCAGCTGCTCGCGAAAGGAACGCAGTCCCAGCTCAGCCACCTCTAGCCTCTCGCTGGCGATCGCAGGGCAGGCGGAGGTGTCCTTGGTGCTGAAACGCCGCGGGGCGGGGAGGACAGAGGCCCCGCCCACCTGGCTTCCCCTCCCCTCAGGGTGGACGCCCACTCACCTGCAGCAGCGTCTGTGGGCGGGAGCAGGAGGGGGCAGGAGGAGGGAGAGAGAGCCAGTGAGTGAAGCCCTGCCCCCGCCCTGCCAGGCTCTGCTTGGTTCTGAAATAGCAGCGCCCGCCCACAGCCCCTCGGCCCTGGGCGGCGCCAGGACAGCTGTCTGACAGGTGAGCAGAGGCCCCAGGAGGACACCCCGTCCCAGCTCCAGCCCCAGCGTCTGTGGGCTGAAGGGGCTGGCTCTGGCCTCTAAGTGATCGCTCCACTGGGCTGAGGCCCCTGAGGGATCAGGACCCTGGCCTCTGACTGCCGTTCCAAACAGGATCAGCGTCAGCCTGCAGAATGGGCGGGCCTGGGGAATGGATGGAGCCTGTATCCTGGGGCGGGCCTCCCAGGTCAGCGGATGGAGATGGGTGAGGGGCAGTGGCCCTCTGGCTTGTAGGGCCTCACCCGCTGCTGGATGGCCGCGTGCTTGCGTTCCATCTCCCGCTTTTCCACTGCTGAGTCGATCACCAGCTGGTCCAGCTACAGGGAGGGACACAGGGAGGGAAGTGGACCCCTTCCCCTGACGCCCTGGCCTGGGTGCCCCTCCCCGCAGGCTCACCTCAGCCGCCAGCTTTTTCATGTAGGGGTCCAGCTGGTGCAGCAGGCTGTAGCCCTGCTGGAAGAAGCTGTACTGGGCATGCATGAAGGACAGCATCTGGGGGGGGGGCAGGCACAGGTGAGGCCCCACCCTTAGTGGCAGAGGTGGGGCGGGGGGACAGATCCCAAACCTGTGCACCCACACCCAGCACACCTGCAGCACACACCTGTACTCAAGGGCACCCCTCACCCAGCACTCACAGAATCCAAAATCTCAAACTTCTTCTTGGCCTGGAGGACATTGATCTGCCAGGAGAGGAATGAACAGGTGAAGGGTGTCAGGGCCGAGGTAGGCCACGGGCCATATCTTGCTGCAGAGTCCACTCAGGCGGCCAGTGGTTCCCGAAGACCTTCAGCTCAACTTCAGCTCCCTGCACTGGTGCCAGTCCCATCCTTCCATGATTCCAAAGTCCTTCTCCAGTTCAGGACATTGGGTCCCCCCCAGAGGCAAAGCCAAGGTTTCTCACCCCTGCTCCAAGTCCCTCCAAGCCCCACCTCAGAAAGGTCTTCAAGGCCTCCGCCCCCAAAGCCCAAAGCCCTGGCTTGTCTCCCGGCCAGTCCCCCACTCTGGGTCTTTGCTTGGGCATCAGCTCCCCCCCTCACCATGTCCTTCCCTAAGATACAGCATCTCAGGTTTTCTCAGGCCGCAGGAGCCCCTCCAGGCATCAGCTCCCTGTCTGTAGGGACACAGAAGCCGCGCCCACCCAACGCCAGCAGCTGACCTGGAGCACGTAGTCTAGTGCCAGGTGGCGGAAGCACTTTCGGGTGAGGGTCAAGGCACCTGTGGCCTCCTCCACTTCGTGGGGCCGGTGCCTCGGGGCCTGGGCGTTCCTCACCAGGGACAGCTCCATGTCCTCCCGAACTTTGTCAAACTGCTTCTTGGTCTCCTTGAACTTTCGCACGTCCCTGGAGGCCAGAGGGTGTCAGGTCAGGGGTCCGAGGTGGGGTGCATGTGGGGTCTCCCATCTTCATGAAATGCTCTCCCTCTGCTCCCAGGCTCCAGAGCCCCCCTTGTCCCCTCTGAGCCCCAGGCCCCCAACCCCTGCAACCATCACTGTCCCCTCCCCGTCCAGGCCCCTTCCCCGATTGAGGGCCCCACTTTCCCTCTCCCACTTCACTCCCAGGACTGATCCAGTCTGGGGTGACCCCCAGCCCCACCCTGGACTCCAGACTCTCCACTCAGGGGTCCCCAACTGCGCACACAGGCGCTAAGCTCAGGCCCCTGCCAAGCCCCCACCTCCTCCCACCACAACCCTGACCCTTCTGTCCCTGGCCTCACGCTTCCCTGCCTGAGGCCCTCCTGGCTGCCCTCCTGGCTGCCCTCTGTGCTAGGTGAACTCTCGCCCTGCCCTCCAGGCACTGTTTCCTCAGCCTAGCCTTTGTCCTTGCTGAGACCCCCACCCAGAACCTGGAGGCCTTGGGCCCAGGGCCCTGGACCCTCCTAGATCAAGCACAGCTGTGTGTGTTCCCCACTCCAGCATGGGTGTCACCACTGCCCCTCCTAGGGCCGGGAGAGGCCAGGCCTCCTGAGGGCCGCAGGGGCACTCACTCTTTGACAAAGTTGTGAAGCTGTTGCCGCACAGATCTCTGGGCCTGGTCAAACAGGATCTGGGGGCCAAGGGAGGGTGGAGGGGTTAGGGGTCCATCCCCTCATGACCCCAGAGGCCAGGTCCCTGACCCCCAGGTGAGAACCAGGGAAAGCCCCACCCAGCCCTGACTGGGCCCCAGCTGGTCACCCTCACAGAACCAGCCTCACAGGGTCCAGGGTACTAGGCGCAGAACCCAGGCTGGGGTCAGCGCCCAGGGGTGACAGCTGTGATCACCTGCACATCTCCCCGCTTCTGCTCTCAGCCAGACTAGAGGCCAAAGCTGTCCCAGATGGACCCCCTCCTCTGGCGCCCCCATACCGGCCTGGACAAGGCAGGCACACACACACGGCACCAAGCGACACCCACTGCCCTGGTCTTGGGAGGCTACCTTGAGGAGGACCAGCCCTGAAATAGAAAGGACAGAGACACAGCCAGAGCCCCTGAGGGGTCTGACCTGGGGAGCAGAGTGGGGTGGCTGTGGGGGGCTGGAGGGGTCTCTCCACAACATTGCCTGGACTCAGAATCAGACCCCTTCATGTGGGGAGAGGGCTGAGCCCCAACCAGGAGCAGATGGACAAACAGACAGATTGGACAGGACAAGCTGTCTTGTGCTGGTTTATTTCTGAACTTCCTCGGGGGGGGAGGGGGCCCCTTGTTTAGTCTGGGGCTCTGGTTCCCAGACCATAGTCTGACCACCCACGTGTGCCTTAGTCGGCCCTGTGTGTCCATGTGGGGGACCCTGAGGGGCATAAGGTCACCCAGACCCAGGCCAGGGAGCAGAGGTTGGGAAACATCCAGTAGCTGTGGGGTCCACCCAGGAGAGGCTTCCACCACCTGGCCAGTGACCCCTGCCCGGTGGCCCTGGGTCACCCTCTAAGGCCTCGTTCACCCCAAAACCCCACTGCCCTCAGCCCCGGGGGGATCCAGGTGCCTCCCCAGCGGCTGTCTGGCCCTCACCTGGGACACAGCAGCTTCTGAGCAATGTGCCTCCCAGCCCCAGACTGCAGGAGCATCACCGTGGTCTCCCCTACAGTCCGCCCCTGCCAGCTCAGCTCTCTCTGAGCCAGCCTGGAGCCTTCCAGGCTGGGCGGGGCATGAGGGAGCCTGTGGAGGCGCTGTCTGGGACGGGATGACTGGATGAGGAAGCCGGCCCCCCCACACACACATCACACACACACCCCGGCCAGGGCTTACCATGTGGTAGTTGACCATCTCCTGCAGGCTGTCTCCGAACCTCTGCAGGCATTCCTGGGGGCAGGGGAGACCCTGGCTCAGATGGGATAGTCATGCCCCCAAGTGGCTGGCACCTCCCGCCCATAGGCCACAGAGCCGCCCCTGCAGCCCAGCCCTGCCAGGGCCCGGGCACCCTCAGGGGGCTGCCTGCCTGTGCCTGCCCCTGACTGCCCCCTCACCGAGATGACAGTGTCGCCCTGGCACTGCTGGGACAGGTCGCGGACGCCACTCACGAAGAGCCTGTTGGT